TTTAATGTTCTGTCCTTAATCACCGTGTTATTTTATTCCAACCAGCGTGGTGCAGTTATTCATATGTGCTATACCAAAATCAAAAAATATTGCCACAACTTCATTGACCATCCCGAAAAATGTCATTTGTTTATTGTTATGATAGTAGACTTTTTTTCTCCTTTTTTCACAGAATCGTGGATTATAATAACGATTTTCAATTAAAAGTGGAACAACAGTAAGCAACGCGCGGCATGTTTAATGTACGGCAATGACTATTCTGATATCTATTAAAGTTAAAAAATATCTAAAAGCGTATAATTACATGAGCGGAAACAAATTAAAATGTCATTTTCACAGGACACTCCTGCAAATATAATAATTATCTTCTCAGTTTACAAATGCAAAATCAAGCGTATACCCAGTAGTAGAAAGAAACTTGAATATTCAGATTGGTTAAACTAAACTTTACATCACTCGTAAACTTGCATACTGTTGCAAATTGTAAATTTAAGTTTTTTCTTTTTGAAAAGATTCCAAAAATCACTGAAATGAATTCATCCACAGAGAACACATAGGAATAGATAAATCTATACCAACTTTAATTTTTCTAATACAGTGAAAAAGAAATGAAAATGGGATATAATTTAAATCAATTGCGAGAAGCTCATTTGAATAAAGAAAAGCTGAATGCTCCTTCTGGATTATTACATTAAATGAAACTGCAGATTACATTTTCGCATTCTAACTTCTAAGGAATATGGCTCGAGGAATTTTGCGAGCAAATATACACTATTAAGTTGCTTGCAAATTTATGATTTAAATAATAAAATGTTAATATCAAAAGACCAATCAATTGGTTCCAAATTTTTAATTTTCGATTAAGCCAATCCTAAAATTGGCAAGCCAAGTTACTCTATCGATTTAAAATGGTGCTTGGAGTTTACTGCAGTAAGGGAATAAAATAGAATCAATCTGAAATCGTTAATTTAACTCCTAAATCAAAATTTTAGCCGACAGATTTGGCATTTCCGATTGAGCAATTGAGTAATATTTGAAGAAAAAAGTTAGCCACCACTGAGATATTTTCCATCTTGATGTGACGCCTGCATCTATTGAGAAGGTTTCACAAGTCCTTTTTGCTTCTTCTTGATTTCGGTGGTGCAGCAGTTTTCGGTGGTTCTGACTCGTTATTTTCATCATCATCTGGAAAATAATTTGCAAATTTCATTAGCTGCAGCAAAGGAAAAAGATATTTTCGAATTATAATGCAAAAAATAAAAAGAGACCATCCAACGATATATTGCCATTCATAATTTGATCAATCCAAGATTGAAGTACTTCCAGGTTGCTATCCTGATGTTTTTTCGGATCATCAAGATTCAGCTGTGACATATCGAACCATATTCCTTCTTTCTACAATCATAATATTTTGAAACTGTACTTCACTCTCAGTACTCATCATTTATATATCTGCAAATAAAAAAAAACCTCAATTAATTGTTCAAAAATGCATTCATAACCCTTTTAATTTTCAATGATAAGTTTTATATAAGCTATGCGCAAAGAATGCTGAAATAAGAGATATACGTCAGAAATGTCAACGAGGCCAAGTTGTGGACCACCTTCGATATCAATACCGAACATTTCTTCCCAGATATCAACCATCAATGGAAATTCATCTAGAACAGATCAATTGAATTTTTGAAATACAGAATGGATTTTCAACAGTTGTAAAATTCTAAAATTGAACAAAACTTTAAACATAACATATAACACTGCACTGTATTTCTGTTCTCCATTTTAGCATCAAACGAGAAAGCGCGAAAAGAAATGATGAATTAATTTCGATTTCGATTGTTATAGATTGTAACAGATGGTTGGTGGTACCTGGATCGATTAATGAAATCTCCAACGTTCCAGCATGCTCACTATTTTCATCGGCAATTTTTCGGAGTAATTTGAACATTGCTCGACCTTCGCGTGACTCTTCATCACAGAATGCAACAATCAATTTCTCATCGTCTTCTCGATCTTTCTACAGGATAAAATTTTAAATACTTTTGAAACTGTGAAGAAAAAAAATTGATCGAAACTTTAAACATAACATATAACATTGCACTGTATTTGTGCTTTCCATTTTAGCATCAAAGAAGAAAGCATGAAAAGAACTGATGAATTAATTTCGATTTCGGTGGTGTACATTCAAAATTTTGAAGTTTTTACCCAGACATTGAAATAATTCTGCAGGGTTAATTTTTGCATTACTGGTTTCTTGTGTTTCTGAACCCAACTTTCGAATTCTCCTTCAGTATCCACCGATGTCGGAGCGTAAATAGGATCATCCTCAAATGGTCGTAACATTTGTACTTCACCAATTCGTTTCAATCCCATTTTTCGAGCCCACTGAAATGATTCCATGAAAATTTTGTTTTCTTACAAAAAAACGCATCCGAAAAAAATTCTGGAAGTTTTGGTAATATTTTTCTGGAAATAACTAACATAAGAGTTGACAACAGCATAGAATTCCACTTCACCCATAAAATCTTCAGCTGCTTCTTCATATTCTTTTAATGCTGAAAATAAATGATTAATGTTAACAACCCTTGTCGAAAAAACGAAATAAAATTGTAGCATAAAAGAAAAAAACATTAAAAAAATAATACAAAAATATTAAAATCAGAATGTTTGACAGAAATATATATTATAAAAATTATTTGTTTCAAACACTGTCAATTAAATGATTATTGGTTATGATTTTGAAAGTTTGTTTATGTTTATGGCTTCTATGATTGATTACTATTTTTATCATTTCATTTGCCTTGAAATTTTAAAATAATTAACTCCTATATCAAATAACTCCTTACTTACAATGAATTTCAAAGTATTATTCACTTTAATCTTTGGTGCCTAAGTGGCTATAAAGAATTGTAACTTAACCTGACTTCGAATCTCTAAATGTTTTGGTATTGTACTACACTGCCACCATATATCTATAAGTAATTCCCTTTCGGACTATACTTCAATAAATAATCTCGAACTATATTTTCTGAAGTCGAACAAGTAAAGAAGAACTCACCAAGTGATCGAGATCTATTACTGATAACTTCTGATAATTATCCTGTAACGTCAAGAAAAACCAAATTCTCTATCAAATAATCCTTTACTAACTATTCAATTGTGCCAAAACAAGCTCTCACTCAAATAATTAAATCAAAACAAAAAATTTCACAACTTCACAGAATTTTATTTTACATACATCAATTAAAGCTAATAAAACCATTTATTACATCATCCACTTATTCAAAAAAATCCATAGTGATGGAAATACTGATTTAGAAATTATAATAGGAATTCATATAAGATATAATTTTAATAAGCTAACCAACACTGCCTGGTTCGAAATAACCAATTACTCTGACAACATCATCTTCTAATGTCTCAAATCCTTCTTGGTCGTGTTCATCATTTATTATCGTTACTGGATCATCAGGAATCTGTAAATCATCTATTAAATAGCCATTAATATCCATATGCTATATTGATTTACAAGTAAACAAGTAAATGGGAAAACCGAACATTCACATTTGGCAATTAAATTAATGCAACTTTTTAACGAAAAATAAATAAGAGGTATTCTAAGAAAAGAATATAAAGTGCGAAAAAAATTAAAGGAATGTTTTACTTTTTTTTTGGGAGTTTCGCAATCGAGCAAAAATAATTTCAAAATAAATTCAGAAGAAATACTAACATCCATAAGCCATGACACGAATGTTTCTGGATCGCGAACGCCAAAATATTCAATTTTATAGCCATCTTTATAGATATGGATTGTATCCTCGCCTTTTTCAACATCTAAAATTTTCCTTAACTGCATTTTCAGAATTAAATGAAAAACTATTAATTTGTTATCTTACTTTCTTGCTTCCTCAATCGTGTCTCTTTCGTTGTATTTACAGTGTAGAAGCTGTACCCTCGTTTGGTCATTATTTGAGCCGATAACTGCAAATTTTGCAATTTTTCGTTAATGAATTTGAATACAAATTTTTTTGAATATTCACTTCAAACATTGTCCAAGTGATGTTAATTTTATATAGTGAATATTAATACTTTAGCTAATTTAAATTTTCAGGAAAATAATTAAGAGAAATAAATTTTGAAAGATAAAAGTACAAATATACTTGCAAAAAACATTCATATTGATCCAATTCGGGATCATCCTCTTCGACATCGTTAAAAAAAACAATTGTTCTAGAGTCACTTGCAAGCACTGTTTTGTTAAAATTTTTTTCATTTAAAACCTGAAAACAAACGAATTAATATTTAAACGTACGTGTTAACACTAAGCTACGAAATTAAATGGTGAATAAGTTGATGCTTCGTTACCAAGCATAATTAGTGACCTTGAATCTAATGTTTTAATAGTCGAAATTTGAAATGCTTTTCGTAACTTACTATTATTTGAGAAAAAAAAATTCATTTTCTTTCATATTCAATGGAAATGCATACAAAAAAGTTCATGAAAACATAAGACAGCAAACAAAAAGTAGACGAAAGTGAAGAGGGAGAGGAAGACCTGAAGAGAAGATACAACCCGGTTTGACAAAGGGAGAACGGTAACAGAAAGTGATGATACCACCCTTTTGCAAAATATTTAACAAAAGAATGTGGAATTCGGTGCAGGCTAACCTCAGTTCGGTCAAACCCGTCGTATTCTAATTCAGGATATCCAAGAAACATGCAGTTAATATCCAACGTTTTTGCGTTGGTGGCTTGTTCTGACCTTGACATGAACAATAAGAGCAATAAAGTTGTGACCACCAACAGCATTTCTTACCTGAAACTTTAGTTTTTTTCAAATTTTTTAAAAATTTTCCATCTATCTCCTCCATTTTTATTGAGCGATGAGACACTAATATGTGGGATTGAGTATAGGTGTTACAAGTGTATAAGGAGAAAGTGGTATCGTAAAACAAAGAACATTATAGCATCGCTCTTTTATCATTTCCCTCAACAAATCGTAAAAGTTAGAAACAACAATCAACTAATGAAAACTGATGCCGCTAGTCCTGAAAATTGAAATTAATTAATTAAAACAAAAGTGACGTCTTGTAATTTATTTCAAAGTAGGCAACAAAATGATTAATATATTGGTTTAAGAACAGACAAAAATTGTAAAATTCATTTCAACAGATTACAAGGAAGGAAACATAAAAGTTTTTTTAATAAATATTACTAACATTGAATTTGCAAAAATTAGAAAAAATATAACCTAGTCATTCAATAGATAATCCATCGCGTAAAAGAAGTAATTAGAGTTTACTGTAAATAGGCCAGGATAAAGTACAAAGGTATGAGATTATTAATTTGTCTAAAATTTATTCAACATTGAAATGAACTAAATTAAAAAACGAGTAAAATCTATGCAACCATTTACAATATAAAAGACGTAAATCAAGAAATAGG